TCTTTTTGTTTTTAAAACTGGATAACCTTAGTACATCGATCTTCAAGTTTGCTGATTCCTTCTTCTGCCTACTCAAATTTGATGTTGAACCCCTCTAGTAAATTATTCATTTCCATTATTTTACCTTTCAACTTCGTAATATCTACTTGGTTCTGGATTTGTTTTATAAATTCTACCTCTTTAGTGATACTCTCTGTTTCATGAGATATCATCCTCACAATTTTCTTTATTTCTTTAGATATGGTTTCCTTTTGTTCCTTGAACATATTTAAAGTTTTTGCCTAATAAATAACATTTAGACTTCTTCATGGGCAATGTTTATTGACTGCTTTATTTCCTGTGAACGGGATATACTTTTGTTTGTTTTGTGTATGGCTCATATTTTCCGTGTTAAGAACTAGGCATCTTAAATATTATAATATGGTAACTCTAGAAATCAGATTATCCCATAATCCCACCTCCTCAGGGTTTATTGTTTAGTGATTTTTCAGAATTAAATCTGTGACATCTGTATTCTTTGTCACATGTGACCACTGATGTCTCTGCTTGGTTAGCTTAGTGGTCAACTAATGACGGAACACAAATTTCCTTAAATGCCTGAAAGCAGTAAGTCTTCCAGTCCTAACAGAAGGGCTCTGTGCACACGTTGGGGCACACTTTCAGTATTCTCCAGACAGCTGACAGCTCTGCCTAACCCTTCGCTTCCTGCTTGCACACAGCCCCAGCATCAGACAGAGAGAAGAGCTTAAGAGCTTCTCAGGTATTTTATGAGAAGGCTTCCAGCCCTGGGCATACCTGTGGTCTGCTAGATCCCTTAGCCACTCGTCAGTTTTCCTAAGTCCTCTATGGACAGGCATTCCCCAGCATTTCCCTTTAAGCTTTTTGATTAGTCTATTGTTTGCCCCAACTTTTATCCACCCCCTCAGGCAGCTGTGATGATTAAACAATTGCTGATGTTTGTTTTTGACAAGATGCCTTAGAGGAAAAGGTTATTTGCACTTGGTGAACCCTGAAGCAGGTCAAATCAAGAAAAGTCTTGGGAGTGGGGCCTTCTAGGGAACCACCAGGAAGGTCAAAAGACAGTTCTCTCAAAATGGGGTCTTGAAAGAGGCTGCATCACCATTTTGTACATCCAGTGGCTGCCAAGCTACTGTTTTTTTTATCATGAATATACACTGCTGGCTTTCAGGGCTACCACAGAGCCGGGGAAGCTAGGAACTGAGCACATTAAAAATTCCACATAGCTCCCTGTTCTTATCAAATTAGCCACTTTTCTCAAATAAACACTTCCTGGATTGCTGCAAACTTTGGTTAATTTCCAGGGTCATGAGGAAGTTAATTTTGACATTTCCTGCTATGTTCTTATTGCTTTTGTGGAGGAGACGAGTTTTGGAGGCCATTACTCTGCCATTCCCACTGTCCTATTATTCTTCCGTTTTTAATCTCTGTAAAATGTTTATTTAGGCGTACCACTTGTAAATCACTTTTTAAAAATCCCAGTTGGAGAGTTTTCTCTTTCATTAGGAAAAGTAAACTATTTGAGTATATTGTACTCACAGATATTTTCAGTGTTAGCCTTGCTGCATCATTTTACGTTTCTATTTATTATGTTTTCTTATTTTGTTTCATTTTATTTTTTTAATTTTTCTTTAGAGTTATCTTTATTCCTCTCCTTCAACTCATAGTTTGAAGTTCAGCTTTCTGTTTGATTACAAGTTCCTGTAAACACACATATTAAAATATCTAAACTTGTATTTTTCTATCAAAATAAAAACTAAACAGTGTAATAAGTATGCAAAGTCATCTATTAAAGCAATGTTTAAAACCAACAAAAAAAAACTATTTAAATTATTACGATGTACTTTGGAGTCTCTGGTTTGGGAAGATTGAGGTAATCTTAATAATTTCTGCTATTTATTGAGTGGCTGCTGTAAGCATTGCACAGGATGCATGCTTTCATTTGTTAATTCATTTCATCTTCATAACTCTGGAGGAACTCTTGTTACAGATGATGAAATGAACTCCAAGAATTTCAATAAAGTTCCTGGAGTCACATAGATTATAGATAACAACATCATGATCCAAGCTTGGGTCTGCCAAATTCCAAATCCAAGGCTACAATGCTTTGCAAGGGCCCAGCCATTTCTATAGGGGTAAAACCTTAAGAGTGTAGTTAGTTGGGAGGGGTGTGCACATTTATGAGAACAAATAACACGGAGTTGTCTTTCTCAGTCTCTCTCATCAGACAACATTTTAAATATAGAGGGGGAAAAGAAAATATAATGATAGATGAAATCTAGAAGAATAGAAACATGCTGAAAGATGGCCAGGAAGGAAGGGGCAGCTGGGGCAGCATGAGAAGGAAGTCAGAGAGACAGAGAGAGTCAACCTATTTTGACTGAAGGGAACAGATGGGAAATGAGCAAAGACAAAAGGAGCCATGTGGGCAGGTGTCATCGGTTAGAGGGCAAGTGACTGGAATTTGATCAATCGACAAGAATTTATTTACTGGACTCCTGGGCACTGTGTGAGATACAAAAGAATGTAGAGTTATTTTGGGAATGATAATGATGTAGACAAGACAGATGGCTTGAACTGGGGCATTAACGCTGAAGGAAAAGGCTAGAGACAGAAGGCAGAAAGAAAGAGGTTAAGGCGATCTCCATGTGAGCCAGCTTGCATATCAATCTGGATTTTTTGTGGGAATGGCAAGATATAGAGGAAACGCTATAATTGCTATTGAATCAAAGTTAAAGGATGTGTAGATGGAAGGAGGAAGATGCCAAATCACCTACTCTATTTCTGCATTTAGGTAAATGAAGAGATTATTAAAGATTTATGAAAACACACCCATATGTACATACACACTACAGAGAGTGCATTAAGTCATCCTCCCAAATGTAAATATGACCATTCAGCAAAGACTGGGTGGGGCCTGATACACGTGACTCACCCTGAATAGATCTGACCACCTTGGAAGGTACTGGGAAGGCTTTTTGTGTTGGAGGAAATTGTAAGCAACACTTAAAAGGTGCCTAAAGACATTCAACAATGTAATGAGGATAGATCTCCATTTGTTAATGTGCAAGTAAGTCAAGGTTAGTTGGGGCCAATGGACATGGAACCCAGTTCAGAAGTATGAGCAGAAAATGAGCTTTCTGAGTAGTTCCTTAGAATATTACTTGTAATAGACTCTCATATGAACATTCCTTTATTCTAAAGTATTTACTGAGCATCTTCTGTAACAAAAAATGATAGCTTCCATGAGTTTTCTATACTCTAAGCTCTTTACATGCATTATCTCACCAAATCTTCATAACCATAATGTGCTATTAGTATTATCTCTATTTTATAAATGAGAAAAATAAGATTCAGGTGTGTTAAATAACTCACCCAAGATCACATAGTCAGTAGCTGGAAGAGGAGCAATCCATAGCCTAATCTGTATCATGTTTCTTTCACTTTGAGGCAGGTACATTTTAGGTGCTGGGGATATAAAAATTCATACTTGGCATTCCTTGTTCTTGAGAAACATATAGAGTAGCTAACAGAAAGCCAAAGAGTTGCAATACAATAAAATATTTTCTGTAAGAAGCATATACCAAGCGAATGAGTAAAGAAATACACAAGTTTGCCTCAGACTGTCAGAGACCCCTTGAGCATAGACCTTAAGGCTCAGCAATTGTTTCCTAGGTGGTGAAGGCACAGATGGGATTCCAATACAGGCAAAAGCAGTGCAAACAAGCACCCAGATGCAGGAAAGAGTTTGAACTATTTAGGAAACTCTAAGGAGATCAGAAAGACAGAAACATAAAACATAGAGGTACAGCAGGCAATGAGGCTGGCGAGGTAAGAACTGGTACGTGAGGCCAAAGAACTTAGAGTTTATCCTATAGAAATTGGGGAATCATCAAAGTCAGTCCCATGATGAGTTGGGTTAATAAAAGAGATTCTTACATGATATTGTATCATGAGATCCATAAAACTATGACAATTCAAAGACTGGAGATGACGTCCAAGGGCCACAGCTATGTAACAATGGCAGCATTACAAATGGAAGACTCCATCGGAGATTCAAGGGAAGGTGGTGAGAACGCAGCAGTGTGCTCCAGAGAGATCTGGGCCCAGTGTACTAGAGGCTTCCCCGGGGTGAAGCCGTGGTACATAATTGCCTTGGCCAGTTGTTTCACTCGTGCATTTGCTCATCCAGTACACATATGCATGCCAGGCAGCCGTTGCCTCAGCAGCATCAGTATGTCAGTAGCAGTACCCAACTTAATAGTGGATGGCTTTTGAAATGGCATGGCTGATCTCCTGGAAACTGACTCCAGGTGTGACATTGGTGAGGACCTGTTTAGAGGTTTGTGGAACAACAGTCAAGTACTACTTGGAGAATACCAGTAGTGAGTCCCCCCAGAGGACACTATCTGGAGTATCTGGGGTGAGCAGGGATGGAGCTATGGATACAAATCCCCCAAACTTCTGGGCACTGGGGTAGCTCACCAAATCTCAGACAAGACGCACAATTTAACACCTCAAGAGAAGGGGTATCTGCAGGGAACAACCATACCCAACAGAGGGCAGCATCTAAAAGGAGGTAAGTAGAAAGGTCCCAATTACATATACCCAAGGGGAACTGAACAGAACTCCTGGTTATAGATTTGAGACACTTCCCCTCAGTGGGACAGAGACCAAAAGACTTGAGTCAAGGCTCATGTCGTATACATGTGTGTATATAAGTGTATATGTGTAGATAGTAAATGGATATAGTCATTACATTCTTGTCCCCAATTAGCTACGTGGCTGTAAACAAGCTGTTTCCCTCCCTGAGTTTCAGCCTTCTCGTCTATAACATGAAAAAGCTGGCCCTCATCTCGAAGGTCGCCTCCAGCTACAGTATTTTATTAGGATTCCAGATGGTTACTGGTGATGATAAAATTCTTTGTCAACTTATAATTACGTTGTGTAAATGATACAACATCAGGTTTTCCTCTTCTCAGGAACTGCTTTGTGAAAATGACCCAACAAATGCAGAATCTGCATCTTTCTCAGTCGAAAAAACATAGTGCCCCATCGTCTCCCAACGCTGCCAAACGCCTGTACAGAAACCTCTCTGAGAAGCTGAAGGGAAGCCACTCTTCGTTCGATGAGGCCTATTTCAGAACAAGAACCGACCGGCTGAGCCTCAGGAAGACCTCAGTGGTAATAACATGCTTTAGATTCTTGTCTCTGCTTGCTTTGTGGAGTTGTGTTTGGGTTTAAGGAGATGCTAAGATGTTCCACGTTTACTTCAGAACCTGGTGTTTGCAGGTCTACAAGTGCCAAGAGTCAGATAAGGCAGGAACCACACGTGTCTGTGCTGAAGCCAAAGCTTGAGTGATTGCGGGAGTTTCCCTTTCTTTTTCTTAATTTCTTGCCCCTTCTTTTCTCTTAGTTTTTCTTTCTCTAATATATCAGAGAAACAAACAAACAAAATAGCAGTTTGATAACTGTGGAGCATGAATGATATAGGCTTTCTGAAAGCTTCAGTATTCATTCAAGTATCAAATAAACAATGAATATTTCATTTACTTATTTGTAATGTGCAGCCCGTATGTATTCCAGAGGCATTCAAAACAGAATCCAGGCCAAAAAAAAAAAAAAAAAAAAAAAAAAAGTGTATGTATTATATAATGGGAAATAAGTAAAGTGATAGAGGGAGAGAGGGAGAGAGGAAGGGAAGGGAAGGGAAGGAAGGAAGGAAGGGAAGGAAGGAAGGGAAGGAAGGAAAGAGTGAAAAAGAAAAAAGGTAGAAAATGGGGCACCTGGGTGGCTCAGTCAGTTGGGTGTCCGACTTCGGCTCAGGTCATGATCCCACGGTTTGTGAGTTTGAGCCCCGTGTTGGGCTCTATGCTGTCAGTTCAGAGCCTGGAGCTTGCTTCGAATTCTGTGTCTCTCTCTCTGCCCCTCCCCTTCTCATCTCTCTGACCCTCCCCCGCTCATGCTCTGTCTCTCTCTGTCTCTCAAAAAAATGAGTAAACGTTAAAAAAAAATTCTTAAAAAAAAAAAAACTAGAAAATGATGAAGATAGAAATAGAAACAGATATACTAAAAGCCTCGGCAAATATAGTACCTAAAATTTATCATTACATTTATCTCTGAGCTCCTCGTCAGTCCAAGCAAAAAGGGAAGCCAAAGTGGTTATAGCATCCCATTAGCTGATAACTGAAAGTATATCAGTCTACCAGGAGAAACGAGTATTTTCCTGTTTATAGTCCTCTGGGCCTTTATATGACGTCACAGTGAATTCTGTAATAGAGTATAAAGGTCTGTATTGGTGATGTTATAGACTTTCTCATAGAGTAGTTTCTGATACTGACCATCAGTAAAAGCTGAGGGCATAATATATCAACATGCTCAGCAAGGGCATTTCTGCAGGGGGCAATAACACCATTTGTTGGAGCTTCAAACAGAAATGAGCCCTAGGCTTTCCCAAGAGAAACATGCTAGAGTTTGCCAACGAAAGCATGGAGGAGGAAAGGACTTCAGAGTGAGAGCAAATACGGCACATGAGAAATGAGGGATAGTAAGAATGACAACCAAATACACAACTGTGGACAGGGCAGCATGTTGACTTTGTTCTGTTTTCCCATTTGTTGTCTCATTTCAAGCTCATCTTCTGGGAGGGCTTGGTTGTGGCTGACTTAAGGCCTAAGCATCAGAGGCTCTTCAGTTTGGCAGATTGGAGACAAAACACCTTTGCATTCAGTAGATTGTCCTGTAGCAAAGAGAGCTGCACACCAAAATAGTTCTATCCCTTGGGACCCCACTGTCAAAACAAGTATTTGCATAATAGCATTGTATTTCCCTCAGATTTCAACCATGTGTCCTGTACTCACTTAAGCTGACCTGCTGCCTTTGATGGAGAGAATTGATTTTTGATGGTACTAAAATTAAACCTGCCAACCATAAATATGTTCGATCAGGCAAGCCCTAAGCTGTGTCAGGACCGATGGTATTTCAACATTCTTTAAAGAGCAAACAACACTTAGAGAAGATCCCAAACAGATGTAGAAATAGTGTATGTGTTGCTCTTCTCCCATGAGCTACAGAAATCCGTATGAGAGAATTCCAGACCTTTTATCCTTTGTTTACTATTAATCTCTGGTAGAACTTTTCAGTGGAATCGTATTGTCGTTAGCTACTTTTTTTAATATAGGTGATTTGAATCCTGTGAACATTCAACTTTTGGTCCTCTCAGCACAGGTGGCCACCCAACCACCAAAGCCCTCCCTGGACACCACCTCTTGAGCCCTTCCCTCGGGGGCTCAGCAATGCCAGGTGTTCGGTGGTTGAGGCCTCGGGGCTGAGAAGGTGCAGATGTTAGTTAGTACAGAGTAGTCTAGGAGCTGGGGAGCCAGCCTGCAGGCAGTGAGAGCTATTTTGGTGCTGCAGAAAGGAAGGGGTATGTAACATCAGTTTTAGAGAGACTACTCTCATCTCAATATGAAACATGGGCTGGAAGAGACAAGAACCAGCAATGGGCAGGTCATTGCCATCGTCCAGGCAAGGGATGACAGCATCTGGGTCTGAGTGATAGAAGAGAAGAGACGTGGGAATGGGGAGAGAGGGGATGAGCGGAGGGGAGATTGTGCTCTCAACTCCAAGCCAGTTGTAATTTAAATGACCTGTACTGCGTTATCTATGCCAGCACTTCCTGAACTGTGTTCTGTAGAATGCTATTCCAGGGGCAGTTAAAACAAATACAATGAAACATATGTTCTCTGCACAAATATTTAAAATAGGTCATATTTCTCACCTATCAGAGAGGCATAACTGCATGTTAGAATTATCAAAGGCCCTGATGGGTCTTATAGTAAAATAGTGTGGTAACCTAGATGAATCCAGTGTGTACCAGATTTATATGACTGCAGGCCACGTTCCTCATAGGACACCTTCTAATGACCTATCAGATGGTTTCGCACAGAAGACTGGTTTCGAGAAAAGCCAGTGTTTGCCCTTACCTGTAGACTAGCCATGCCCTACTGTATGGTCTCAATGCATCTAAATGTACAGATCCATTCAATGGCCATTAGACAAGAGGGAGGGAGGATCCAGCTGTGTTTAACAAGTCGTGTTTGTTGGGATCAATTGCAGTTATGAGTGGGGATGCAGTCACTGAAGTTAAAACAGCTAAGCTGCAAGGCAAGCCGGTCTATGAAAGTGTGCTCACCTGCGTGTGTGCTTGTCCTCCAGAACTTCCAGGGCAACGAAGCCATGTTTGAAGCAGTCGAACAACAGGACATGGATGCTGTGCAGATCCTCCTGTATCAGTATACACCAGAGGAGCTAGATCTCAACACCCCTAACAGTGAGGGGCTGACGCCCCTGGATATTGCCATCATGACCAACAATGTGCCCATTGCCAGGATTCTTCTGAGGACAGGGGCCAGAGAAAGTCCGCACTGTAAGTAAACCTGGGGATAAAAACATGTATTATTAAGGCTAGATCCAGCTTCGTGCCACCGAAATAGCATGACTGACATTTACAGCATGAACAGTTGATGAAGATAGGCTCAGAATTCCTTTACATGTTTTCACGGACTTTCATGCAAATACCTATAGAATTTTACCAGTGTAGGCATCAAGTTACGTGCTACATAGAATACACCAAGTGGAATTGAAAGGGATCCTTGAAAGAACTTCCTCCTAAGAATTTAACCCAAGTTTTAAAATATATGAAACACTCCAAGTGAGGCTATAGAATAGGAAGTATACATAGAAAAGGTTTAAGTGTGTATGTGGGTTAGTGTCTTGGGTCCACAGTCAATATGGTGGCTTGCTTCATTCATTCATTCATTCATTCGGCAAACACTGAGGACAGGGGCGCCTGGGTGGCTCAGTCGGTTGGGCGTCCGACTTCGGCTCAGGTCATGATCTCGTGATCCCCGCGTGAGTTCGAACCCCGCGTCAGGCTCTGTGCTGACAGCTCAGAGCCTGGAGCCTGTTTCAGATTCTGTGTCTCCCTCTCTCTCTGACCCTCCCCTGTTCATGCTGTGTCTCTCTCTCTGTCTCAAAAATAAATGTTAAAAAAACAACAACAAACAAACACTGAGGACAGAGCACTGTTCTAGGTACCTAGGCTCACCTCACCATGGTGAACAAGACAAAATCCCTGTTGTCATAGAACTTACACACTAGTGGAGGAGACTTCCAATAAGCAAGTAAATAGATCAATTAAGTTGTAAACGCAAATAGTGACAAATGTGATGAAGAAAATAAGTGAGTGGCTAGAGACTGACAGAGTGGGGACTATTCTAAATAGGGTTGGGCAAGAAAAGCCTCTCTGATGCAGTGACATTTGAGCCTGGTCCTAGAGGATATCAAGGAATGAGCCAAGTGAGGACATGTGGGGTCACATTCTAGGCAGAGTGAATAGCAAATAGAAAGCTGCCAAGGCAGGTAGGGGTGAGTTGCCCTGTTTGAAGAACGAGGCCAGTGTGGCTACAGCAGATAAACCAAGGGGAGAGTGATGGTGGAGGAAGACCATTCAGGCTCTTGCAGACCACGGTAAGGTGTTTCACTTTGATTGTAAATGTGATGGGGAGACAGCAGAGCAGTTTAAGCAGCTGAATAATGTGTTCTGGTTTACATTTGAGACGATCACTGCAGGGCTCTGCGGGAGATAAGACAGTGGCGGGGCCGCTGTGAAATTGGGAAGACTGGTTAGGGGTCCAGGAGACAGATGCAGGTGCTTGGACTAGCAGGGTAGTGACCTTGGTGGCGGGCTGGCGCGGAATTCTGGATGCGCCTTTGAACAGCTTGAGATACAATTCACATGCATGCGATTCACCCATTTCACATGTACAGTTCAGTGGTTTTTGGTAAATGCACGGTTGTGCAACCATCACCACAATCAGGTTTAGACCCTTTTCTTCACTCACACCTCACCTTTTAGCTACCACTGCCCAACCTCCCCACTCTTCCCAGTCCAGGCAGACACTAAGCTACCTTGTCTTTCTGTATAGACTTGCCCAGTCAGGACATTTCACGTAAACGGAATCCGATAACGCGTGGTCTTTCGGGACCGGCTGCTTTCCGGATGTGTTTTGAAGTAGAGCTGAGAGTACTTGCCAAAGGGAGCTACTCTGAGGCCCGTGGCAGAGCCCGCCGGGAGCAGACAGGACGAAGTCGCACAGCCCTTGCCCTGCGCCAGGCACTATTCTGAGCACTTTACATGCATTCACTCCTTTAAACCCTACAGCAACATTCCGAGGTGGGCACTCACATTCCCCTGGTGCAAACTCTCTGACCCAATGACCACAATGGCTCCAAGCCACAGTTTTTATGTTTCCTAAAAGAAAAAAGTAAACCCATCAAACTGTTACTTTCACTAATACTGATTCACTTACTTCCAAGCGGTGAGACCCAGAGAAGCAAGCAAATATATAATTAGAGGCCACATCTCTGCTCGTAAGTTTCATAAACCCCCACCACCCAAAGACTACGTACAGAGGCAGATCCTTGTATCAGAAAACTCTTTATTTTAAAAATGCTGGGCTCACCACATCCCTGTCACACAGAGTGAGGATTTGGGTTCCGTAGGATCGGGGCTTCTCAGTAAGAGCTCTTTCGTCAAAGTGTCACTTCTTTCTAGTGGAGCGGGGGGCTTGGAGGGGTAGGGGTGGGCAAATAGAGATGGAAGAAATCGAAAGCCCTCTTTGCTACCTTCTAATTTATGTTGCAATAACGTCTATCCCAAAGATCCAGTGAGAGAGCGGTGGAGAGAGGAGCAGAGGGTCTGAACATAGAGAATGTGGACTGAGCCCCATTCTGTAGGAACAAGGGAACCATTCATGCAGATGTTGCCTGCACTGGGCTGGATGAAACATCAGTCCCACTTACCTGAGACACTACAAAGAATTCTGCATTTTCCGTGAAACCAGTGAGACTCCCAATCTCCCCAAGTCCCCATTGTGCATAATTAAATCTCCATAAAAGAACCCACGTACTAAATATCTAGTTAAACCAAAAACAAATTCATTCAAAAGGTCCCTGGTTTTTCTCATTCCCTCTGGGATGATAACCAGAACCATCATCACAAAGTTGTAAAGGAAGGTGAGAGATAAACCTAGGTTTTAGCCTCCAGGAAATAGGACACCTAAGTCACCTTGGCCACCCAGGAAGTCAAAGAGATAGTTCCCTGTTAGACTCCCACATATGTAAAAATGGCAAAGGAATATCGATTGGGTAGCTATGAAGTCTCCATATACATGAGTTTTCATGGTAGCACAGACTCTGAGGGGGTTACGTGACTAACCAAAGGTCACACATCTGGCAGGTGAATAGGGGCGTCAATGACTCAAACCCAACTCTGTGGGACACCCATGCCTGGGATCCTTCTATGCAAACTTGCTGCTTTTCCAAATAATCAATATGGAGGACTGGGGCCCTGAATCTTTCCCTTTGTGCCATTTGCTAAAATCCTACGGTATATTGTTTTGTTCTGTCCTATACCCTAAGGTGCCTTTCCTGTTGGAGAGAGGCACGATAGAAAAGCACAATCTGTTTTCAGGGATTTTTAATTCACTTTATATATCGAGTACAAAAGACACAGAATTGCTTCTGTGCATGAGTGCGAGCCAGCCCATGAGAAACACCAGGGTTCGCCAGCCAGAACCAGATAAGCAAACACCTGCTGCGAATTGTTCCCCAGAAGTTGCAGAGGCAGGAAGTAAAAGAAGAAAAATAACAATGAGGTCTTAATTTCTTCGAGTGTTTTACACATTGTAACACTTCTTTTGCTTGCATCACCTCATTCGGTCCTCACAACTGGCTTACGAGATGGGAGTCTGTTTCATCCTTTTGCTCAATGAGGAAACTAGAATAAGAAAAGTCAAGGGTGCCTGGGAGGCTGAGTTGGTTAAACATCTGCCTCTTGATTTCAGCTCAGATCATGATCTCACGGTTTATGAGATTGAGCCCTGGGTCAGGCTCTGCACTGACAGCATGGAGCCTGCTTGGGATTGTCTCTTTCCCTCTCTCTATGCTCCTCTCCTGCTGCCTCTCTCTCTCTCTCTCTGTCTCGAAACAAAGTAAATAAACATTAAAAAAAGGAAAGTCAAAATAATTCACCCAATGCTACAAAGCTAGTAGATGGCAGAAGTAGGATTTAAACCCAATTCCTCTATATTAAATGCTTTGGTATTTGTGTAAAAGCATCAGCACACTCACTATCACACCTCAATTCTTTCCTTCCCTGACTCTCCGTCAGCTCCTCTTCTAATGCCAGTCAGGTATTCCAAAGCAGAGTACAGAGTCTCTACGAGGGTTAATTTTCTGTCTTCTGTTTCCTGTATGTTCCCTTCTGAAAGCCAGCCCGATGTGCTTTCCACTCTGCCAACCAAGGATCCCAGCACAACTCTGAAGCAAGTCCTCTGTGATTCTCCCCAGCTCATTGCAGGAATCACAAAGACACAGCTGAGTTTAGGGACCTAACTCTAAATTATTGGTCAGGCATGCTTTTCAGTCTTTAGCTCCTGAATCACAACACCATAGCAAGGTGTTCTTTACAAACGTGGCTTGAAACTCAACCATGTACATTTCCTTCTTTATCGGGAAAGTCCCAGAAGTAGCCACCCAAACTTGCACACCAACCCCATGTTAAATACATGCAGAACCCGGCCTACTCATTAGATCAATCTAGTATCCTTATTCAGTGGCTTTTCCCGTTCTTCCCATCTTTAAGCAAGCAGCAAAGTAATATCCATTCCTTCTAATATCAGTCTTGATTAAAGTAGAATCCCAAATACTTCCAGGTGGACTGGTGTGCTGAGCTCAGGAAACAGGCACAGACTAGAAAGGACTGGAACTAGGACAGCTGATGTAGAGAAGCACCTCAGGACACCCAGGGACTGTGCCTTTGGTCGTTCCATCCACTCAGTATCCCAGTCGCCATGACACCTGCTCAACTGAACAAACGCTATCCAAGAAAGACTTGTCTCTATAAGTGAAAGTCCCCAGTCTAAGCCTTTGCCTCATTCTGACTAACTCATATCCTGCCCCCATTCTGAAATCCCAGTTCAGCAGCCTCTAGAAGGAATTTGCCGAATCATCAGTGGGGTCCTTGCCTTTCTGAGACTGCTATTTATTTCACATCATCTAGGGTCCATAAACAGTAATCATAAAGAAACGAGTTCTTTTTGGATACCTACCATGTACAAATCTGGTCACTCCCATGGATTTTGTCTGTCTTGCGACCCCAGTACCCGGCACAGAGTAGGTGCTCAGAAATCTTCAGTTGAAATTTTGAACCCTGTCTCCCACTGCTGGGAATTACAGGTATTGAATTTATGCACATACGCACGCACATGAGTTACGTGCAGAGCGCGTTACACAGAGTATGGAAAATACCTGTAAGTCTTCCAGCAATTTACGCTCGGGAGTATCTTTTGCTATTGTTGCGTT